CCGTTTTGAGAATAATCCAGTAAAATGGTGGCAGGTGGATGCAAATCCACGCACTACGTTAAGAGAGGAATTTTGTTGGTATTTAAAAAAGATGTTAATTATTATTACCGCAGCAGTTATGAAAAGCAGTACTGTGATATTTCGGAGCAATATTATTTGGTTTTAGTCTTAGACGCCACTATTGGACTTGCAGACGTCCTTGCAAAGGTCCTTCCACTCCCCTCTGCCCTGTGCAATCTCCTGGAGGGAGAGGAGATCAGACAACGTCTTGAGTCCCCTCCGCCCCACTCTCTGCAGGTCACGGGATAGCACGATAGGCAGAGTCGTTCTTGGCCGTCCCCTCCACACTGTTTCCTTCACCTGGTAATAGTTAATCATAGCCGCCACAGCAGGACATCCGTCAGGCATGCGCAGTATATGGCCAAAGAGTCTCCATCTGGCTAGGCGAACAAAGTTAGATATCGGTTGTGCTTTGCACCTCTTGTAGAGAGCAGCATTGCTTATTGTTTGTGGCCACCTAATACCGATGAGACTACGCAACTGCCTGCGGTGAAACGAATCCAGTTGGGCCTCGGCCACTGAAGTGGGTGCCCAGGTGCCGCTGTTGTACAGTAAGACTGGCATCACGAATACGTTGTACAGCCTCAGTCTCAATTCCTCACGCACTAATGTTCTCCGCTTCCAAAGACTGTACATTGCTCTGTAGGACGATGTGGCGAGCTGTTTTCGCCTGGTGATGTCTTCGTCGTCACCAATCAGAGAACCTAACTTTTTCGTCATTCTCCATTCTTCCGAGACTCGATCCTGCTGCCGGGTGAGTTTTGTGTATTCGGTCTTCTCTGCGTTGACATGGAGATTCCATTGCCTGAGAACTGTTGCGGCAAGAGGTTCAAGTTGAGCTAGCCAAGCAGATGAGGTACTGACAAAATCGGTGTCGTCCGCGTAGATGATGTCGATTGGTAGAGTGCTATCTGCAGGACAGCGAGGTGGGGCTGTGGCGAGGACATCGCGCAGTGCTGCGTCTAGATAGACTACAAATAGCACAGGGGAAAGTGAGTCTCCCGGTGGAGTGCCAATTGTTGTGTGGAAAGGGGTAGACTCAAAACCTCCAAGTCGAACACTCAGCGTCGTGTTAGCGATGAGCAACCTTACCAAACGTAGGTCATCCGGAAGTAGGAAGGTCTCCAAAACGGCCAGAAGTCGGTGTAGAGGAATGGTGTCAAATGCTTTTGACATGTCTATACCCAGAATTTCAATGACATACTTATATTTCTGGACTGTTGCTGCAAGCCATTTGTGACACCAAACTGCATCTGCCGTTGATCGTCCTGCCCGGAATCCACTCTGGTTGTCACTGAGAAAGGTATTAACTCTATGTGAGATGCGTTTCAGGGTGAGAAGTGACACCGCCTTCCTGAGGGCAGTTAGAAGCACTATGGGACGAAGATTTCCAGGTGGTCCCTTCTTTTTGTTAGGTTTTTGAAGAGAAATCAGTGTGCCTAGGCCGAGGTTTAATGGCTGATGGGTTTTGAAGACCCTGTTCAACAGGCGGATCATAGCCTCCAGGAGTTTCTCACCACCATATTTCAGGAGTTCAGCCGCAATGCCATCCGGGCCACATGCTCTACCATTGTTTAGTTTCTTGAAGCTATCTCGGAGCTCGGAAGTTGTGATAGGCCGATCGAGTGGTCTAGGCTCACCGATGAAGGGCTCTATGGCTGAAGCATGTTCATCTGTAAACTGGCGTTGGAAATGTTCTTTAACGATAGCTACTGCTTCCTGGGCTCTGCCGACCAGTTTGCCGTGTTGATCCTGCACTACCGGGGTCACTGCCGGCCGCCTCCGCATTGTGGCAACTGCCTTGAACATTTGTGCGCCGTTCTTCAGTTTCTCTACTTCCTTAGCCTTCAGGTCCAGTTCTGCCTCGGCACGGTCTAGGCACAGCTTCCGCACCTTGTGTTGAATTCGGTTACGTTTGGTTTTGAGGGATTCTCTCTTCTTGTCGTCAGTGACAAATGTCAGCTGTATGCGCAGCTGCCTCTGCTCCTTCGATAGGGCTTCCAGTTCTGCATCATCGTATTTTTGGTGTTTTTTTCTCTTGGTGTATCCCACAGTTGTTGCTGCTGCACTGTGAATGTGTTTTTGAATAGCGTTCCAGTTCTCCTGCACGTCGTCTCCTGCCTCCCCAGTAGGCTCTGCAAGTGAATCTGATAGCTTCTTTGCATAGGCGAGCTGTACTTCTTTCTCTGATGCCAGGCGTAGTGTATTGACACTGGGCTGTCTGCTTATGGCATATTGGCGCTAGCTAAATGAGCGTGCCAATTGTATGAATAATGTGATACAATTGATCCCAGTCCTCTGAAGTACATACAATATCACACCAACATGGGTGTCCCAATCTAGGCGATTGTCAAGGTGAACGCCGAGGTAGCGCGTAGAAGACGCTGAAGGGAGGAGACAATCGCCGCCTTTGATTGTTACTTCCTGTACATGCTGCTGGGGAGATATAGTCAAAACCTGGCTCTTGGCGGCGTTCAAGATGAGGCCTCGAGACTTCAGCCAACCGGCCAGAGCAGTTGCCGCTGTGGTGAGGGTTCTAAGATCCTTTGCTAGTGATTGTAGATCAAAGAAGGCTGCACGTAGTTCCAAGCAGTCGATATGAATGTGCTTCTCCGCCAGTGTCCAAAGTCCTGATGCATGGCGATGACCACAGACTGCTCCCCAGCCGACTGTTGATGCTGCATCCGTCTGCATTACCAGGTCTGGAACTGGCAGAGGAATAGAGCGCACATTGAATCCCTCCACGTGCTGAAGCTACCAAGACAAATCCTCCAATGCTGCTTCGGAAAGCCGGAAAAAACGAGAGCGCTGCTGAGGAAATCAGCTCCAGGATACTGGAAAGGCGTCGAGCCGTACCCTGCCTCTGGGCAATTAAGCTCCGGCAAGTTGTCAAAGTCCGATGGACCTTGTCCGTAGGTAATTCTAATGTCATGGCTATTGAACTGATCTGGAATCCCAGAAATTCCAACACCTGTAAGAGCTGAGGTTCTGACCTGCTGGAGTTTACCTGGAAACCCAGGGACAGCAACAGATTAATGAGATTAGCCGCATGCTGCAACGTCTCTTGAAATGATCTAGCCATGATGAGTATATGGTCCAGGTACACGACCAGACGTACACCCTGTAGTTGGAAACAGGTGACCACCGGTTAAAGGAGCTTGGTGAGGTGCCGTGGAGCAGATACAGGTCAAACAGGACAGGCGCAAATCGGTACTACCGACTCTGCCACAGCACCTAAAGGAAGCGACGGAGGGTTGGATGCACTGGCATTGACATGTAAGCGTTGATTAGGTCCACTTTCACCATAAAATCTTTCTTTATCAGTGCGTCCCACATGGTGGCAATACCTTCCATTACAAAATGGTGGTATTGCACAAACCGGTTCAATTCCCGCAGTTCGGCCACTGGGCCCATCTTACCATTCTTTTTCGGTACACACAGTGGACTGAGAAAGCCAGGTGTGCCAGGGGCACCTTTTCCCGGGCATTGTTCTCTTGCAGTGCCTCCATTTCCTCTGTCACCGCTGCTGTTAAATCTTAGGACATCTTCCTGGGGAGTGGCTTCCACCACTGGACTGGTTCCTGACTGAACTCCAGGCAAAACATTCGCACATATTCCGTGACTTCTGAGTCTTCGGTTAGATGACGCCAGCGTCTGGTCTGACCACCAATTAGGCCGCTCGGACGTCCCTGGACCTCCGAGGCGGCCAACCTCCAGTCCAAACCCCACTTGGGTAACTAGGTGCATCCACACTGCAGTTCTGGTGGTAATGCCTGCAAGCACACCTCTAGAAGGAAACGCATTAGGCGCAGTTTGGCTTCAGAGGGCCTTGCTTGTTGTCGGGCTGTTGGTGTGACCGGGGTTGACACTGCGGCTTCTTGGAGTAATGTGGACGGTGAAGGACATGGCTTGCGGAGGTCCACCCATTCTTGCGGGCTCCTCTCCCTCAAAAAACGGCACAGGGGAAGCCTCCGAAGGCTTGCGGCATTTGGTGTTGCTATTCCTCTGGTCTTGTTCGAAGCTTGGCGGCCGTCTGTCTTTTCCAGCCACATGGCCATGACTTGCAGGCAGCGTATGACGTACATCGGCCCAGGCATTGTCCGGTTCCGCTCACTCAGTTATCTGCTCGTTCTGGGCAGAGCCAAATATTGACTAACCAGGGTTAGCAAGATCTGCTGGGGCTAGGATAGAGAGCTTGCGGTGGATCTTAAATAAACAGATGGAACGTCGTTTTATGGTGAGTGCCTGTTTAGCATCTACCGGGAGACGCAGTGCAGCCGTAGCGGCCTCCTGGATCTCAGGGCCGGCGGAACCGGTCAGGCTGGTCCGGCCATGGCTTCACCACTTTCCCAGCTGGATGGTTCATGTGATTCGTGCAAAACCGGTGTAAAAAATGCCAGACGCCTCTCGAGTGGGCGCAAGGCTTGGCCCAGAGCCTGCTGGACTAGAGAAAAAACATCCTGAGGTGCGCATTCCATACCGAAACTCAGACAACAGAAAACTTCAACTAAGCACTTCCTCGAGCAAAGAAAAAAAAGGTGAAGAAGAAGGTAGAGTTTCCGCGTTTGAGCTGATGGATTACGTGTGGGGCAGTTTTCTTTCACGAAATTTTTCTCCCAATTTGTAGTATAACTGCTATCTCGAGCAAAGGAAAACCCGATTTCAGGTCGGTATACACTGTTATATCGAATCCCAAAGCTCCGATATGGAAATTGAATATGGGGATCCAAGAGAAAGTTTCACACCTTTCTATGGTATGATGGCTTTTAGGAGAGGAGAAACTATCATAAGGAAATGTGGGTTGATAACACTATCTACCAGACCAATGACTTACTGTAGAGTAATACAGCAGATGCAGTTTACATGTCTTGCTATACATCAAGAAGATGATGAAAATTGTGTATTGAGATAGATGTGGGTGCTGGTTTCTATAAACTAACCTTCACCCGATGATTGCCAGCATCAGCAATAAAGACCTTTCCATCATTGCTGATTGTGATGCCATATGGATAACTGAACTGCACCCTGCCATTACCCTCGCTACCAAATGATGTAGAGGTATCACGAATAGACCTATAGTGATTTTGTGTTGCAACCTGTAGATACACAGTACAGATTATATTGATAAGTTAACAATCCTGACCAGGTGAAAATCATACTAGCTTGTTGGCCAATCAGTATTCGTCATACAATCTGTTCACATAACGGGAGAAAAAATAATAATGAATGTTGAATATGTTATCCATGTGGTCTTCATAACATACCGTGCTATGTGCACAGTGTTTGATTACGTATTGTCTTAACAAGGAACACATATCAAGAAACGGTGTAGGAATTCACTGCACGGGAAAACAAAACACTTCAAAAAGCTGTGCGCTGTAAATCAGGCTGAGTAGTATTGGTCAATTCTTCAGCTTTTCACTTATCATTGTGATCAGGCTGAGCCCCATTCCCCCAGTGCTGTATTGATGAAGCCACAAAGGACAGAACCGGTGTGTGTGTTCGTTTTTGTGTTTGTGTGTGTGTGTGTGTGTGTGTGTGTGTGTGTGTGTGTGTGTGTGTGCGTGTGTGTGTGTGTGCGTGCGCGCATGCGTGCGTGCGCGAGTGTGTGTGTGTGTGTGTGTGTGTGTGTGTTTGTGGTGCCACATAGTTCGGTTGGTGGGTACACTTATGCCTGATTGTGTTGGGTGTGTTGCCAAAGGTGTGGCTGCTTGAAGGTGTAATGTTGTACCTGCCACCTTTGTTGGTTCCAGGGTTCATATACTTTCTATTTTAAGTATACATACCTGTTAACCTAGAGTTTTGTATACTTTTGGGGATTTCAGGGTGATTTCCCCGAAGTTTTAGGGATTTCAGGGGCTGTCGGCCGTTGCGCGGTTCAATAGCCAATTGAGTCATTTTTCCAAGATTCCTTTTGGGTCCCTCTCCCCTCTCCCGGGGAGACCCACGTGACCAGTTTTGGCAGTGACAACAAGTACAAGTACAAGTGTGTGTGTGTATGTGTGTATGTGTGTATGTATGTGTGTTTGTGTGAGGGGGGGGGGGGGCTCGGTGGTGAAATTACGTCCTCCGGAAACATAAAATTCATGACTTTTTCACGTGACTTTTCTGTGAGCAACTCTGCTCGACGAAAGTGTATTATTGGAAGGAAAACACTCCAACACACTCAATGGACATGTATTCAAAAATCTGCAAGACCGATTGATGGGAATAGAGTCTCAGTCTAAGTTGCCATTGGTCGATTCATCACCGCTGGAACCAACCAAAGTAGCAGGTCGATCTACGTGTTCTCGCATGTCACAGTGCAGCTTGTTGTTGTTGTTGTTTCTGTATTTTACTTCACCATATGAACAGGCAAGACTGCCTTCTCACCGGGGCTATTGGCCCACGGCTCTCACAATATGATGAAAATGTTTAAAATGTGTATGAAGAAGAAAGGAACGGAAAAGAAGATGAAATGAAAGGAAAGAAAACATTAGTTATTAATTTTATGAAGGGGAGGGGGTAGGAAATGGGTATTATCATAGTTGATGAGAGAACTTTGATATCAAATATTCTTGTTCTATAGACTATTTAGTACGGGCATTTCAAGAGAGTCATGCATGGGCAAGGCAGGATTTGGACTAGGATAGAGGACAAGAACATAATTGATGAGCATCTGTTCAGGCAAAATCTGTGAAGAAGACATAGTAGGCACAACATCGGAGAGCTAGTTGAGGACGGAGATAAGGTCATAGCCAGACAGCAATGCTTGAAACGTGTGGCGTGCGTCGCAAGCTCGAATATCAGCAGTGAGAGAGTTCCATGTGGTACTGCCAACAAAGGCGATAGAGCTACGGCCTGAGGGACCAGGTAGGAACGGGACTCTGAGCAGCTGGCTAACCTGACCACGCATGACACAACTTCTGTCCACATCCGTGGCAATGAGGGAGTAGTAGTATGTGAACAGTGAGCTAGCTCTGCCATGAAGGCAGCGGAAGACGAAGAGAAGCAGACGTTGCATGTACAACTGGTGGAGCTGAGGCAATGATAGTCTGACAAACAGGAGAGCAATGGGGGTCGTTCTGTGAAGTTGGAAGATGGCTCGTATGCCAGACTTAACAATGCGTGTCAGTTGATGTAGCAGCAGTTTGGATAGAGCGGGACAGAAACAGTTGAAGGCATAGCAGAGAACAGACTGGATCATACTCATGTACCAGGCCCGGCGGGCATTTCTCCGCGTCCCAGATCGTCTTCGCTGTTACTAGTACTTCAAAGTATATGGTTTACACATGTGCCTTCCCTAGCATCTCTCTATGTAAGTAACGCTCTTTCTTTTTTCTTCTTCATTTTCTCTCTTTGATTTGTATTTTTGTTCTCGGTCCGTGGTTGGTTTCACCTTTACTTCTTTTTTATTGGCTATTTTCATTATGTGACATGAAGTGCAAACAGTAAATACATAAATAAAAATCTAGGGGGAGACCGCGGTGACGCTGGTACTCATCGCCTCCGCTCTCGAGGGTGCCCCGGAACGACGACGCGTACAGGAAAAGCCGAACATTTTGCATGTTATCTGCATTGTAGTCGTACCATCACTTCACAACTGCAACTTGTATGTGACCAAGGAGACATCGGAGTGGAGGCTGCTGAACAGAGCAAGATCTTCCACGTTGAATACGCGGTAGCGGGCGACGACTTCGATTTTGCACTTTTTAGCTTTGCTGTGCTGAACGAAGTGAGTCACTTCTTTGCGTAATGGAGTTTTCACATCCTGCTGACCTGTTCGCACTTTGGCTGGTGTTTTCGGGGATGACGCAGATTCCAAAAAAGCTAGCTGCTATCCCTGTCATACTATTCTTGCTCCTCAGTACCTTTGCCCTTCTCTTTCTCATTGTGAACCAAAAACTGTAAACAACGAGCAGTTAGCCCAGTTCTTTTGTTGCATGGCAATGTGCCTGTTGGACAAAATGCAAAACATCGTCACTCCCATTGCTTTACAGCACGACATCCTTGCCTTGCGATGACTGTCGTCTTTCGAGAATGTAAATCATGCCTTCCTATGGTTCCAATAATGTCATCTGCCTGTCTTTCATGCCGAGAGAGCCACACAGAGAGCAACAGAACAGGAGCGAAAATTAGTCAAAAAAAGTCGGAGAAAGTACTAACATGGTTGTCATTAAAATTCTGAAATTGGTCCACTTAGCGCAACCTTAGTCTCGTCCTGACGTTTCCTTCATTCTCCTGGGTTTTTAACAATAACCAGTGCATGTCGAAGTAGGTGGTGTTATGTGTGTGCAGCAAAATATCGAGAAAAAAAGGCCAACAAGTAGGAATTCATTGGTCAGAAAAAAATACGTCAAATAGTTGTGGCGTGTAAACCACTTTGAGTAGTAGCGTACTTGAGCGATAAGTGCACAATTTTTTAATGTCCACCACAGATGGGACGCTATTCAAGATAGGGCACTATTCAAGAGAGGGTAATATGTTAAAAGCAAAGAAAGCAACGAAACAGAGCCTAAAGTTTACTGCAACCAATCAAAATCAAAAGAAAGGGCAGCAAGAACTGTGATTTTGATTCTGAAACTACCAATTCAATGACATGGACAAAAGCAGTATCAAAGGATCACCAAACTTGCACATGAGCTTGCTTCCAAGCCGGCAGGGTGGGGAGGGTGGGGGAGGGGGTGGCATTATACAAGAGACGGGTTTCTTTTTTCACTGGCTCTTAGAGACTGGTGCAAATTCGAGATAGGGCTCTAATCGCGAGAGCACGATAGTGGTCAATTCTTCAGCCTTGCAAGCTGTTGCATGCTGCAGTCCCAGGACAACTTAGTACGGCTTCTGTTGTAGTTTCGCTATCATCGTCTCCGGCAATGGGCATCAAAGATTAAAGTTATGCAGAACTGCGACAACAAGGCACAATCTGACAGTGGTACTGAGACATTCGACGACCAGACACCTAGCTCCAACACATGTACCAAGCACCAACCAACAACTTTCCAACTTGGACGTCTCAGGTATGCAAAGTTCCAAATGAATGGAGTTAAAGTGCAGCAAAGATATGCACAAGCTATGTTGCGGGGTAACAAAGACTGCCGAACATTACAGGATGATAAGTGAGACTAGTAAGATAATTAGACGTACCGATCTTACTCCAACTTGAAGACGCAAAGTAACAGACCACCCAACCCGAAGGTATGTAATAATACATGAAGAGGGGAAGCCAAGCGAAGACGATTTCTTGTTTTTACAAAGATCACAGCTCACAGACAAAGACAAAAAATTGCATAGTGGGAGCATAGTGTTGGTGAGGCTTTTGCCCTCAGCCGACCTGAGGTCTTGACGTCATGGGAATTGTGACAAACATGCAGAAAAGTTCCTAAATCACTTCACGTTGGTGCAAATATAATGGGTAAGTTACTAACTTGAAGTTAGGGTTGGTTTGAGTATTGCCGGTGCGCGATGGGAGTCACCAGCAGTGAGCCTCTTGCAAAAAAATGATCGCAAGGCAAAGGCGGAAAAGTTGGGCAGTGCTCAACTCTTGCGATTTGCTCCAGCATTGATCAAGTGCAATTTTGACCGAAAGTGGTTTGTGAACCGTTCGCACCGGGGACCATCGGTGCCGAGAGCCAGATTTTGTCAAAATTTCAAACCAAGGCTCGTCCTAATTTTTCCTAAATTGAAGGTAAAGATGAGATTTGCCATTATTGTAGTCGCTTCAAGATCGCATAGCAAGTCAGCATACCAACCCGTCCTTCACGGTTGCTCTGCTTGTCAGTTGTGCAACTTATGAGACAAAATATAATTGAAAGTAATAAAACATGTGAAGGATACATTGGCAAGTTATTGTAACATCATCGACGTTTGCATGCATAATTTCGACAACATCTCTTACTAGACTGCAATAAAAGGTGTAGAAGTAATTTCATAATCTCCAGTAAAAGTTAGCACCGAGTGACCATCACTAAAAGCCCTTGAACTACTGAAGAAACAGGGAATTCAAGATTTAGTTGACTAACCTGTGGTACCATTTGGGCGCATTATGTACTACTTTGTAGTAGATTCGGTACTCGAACCGTATGCCGGACGGATCAGGAGCTGGCTCACCGCCCGGTCG